AGTGTGGGGCAGAGAGCAAACCAACTCATCCCACAGGATGCAGGGCCAAGCAGGGATCTCTGTGGCTGCAGCGCTGCCCAAGGCCATCCCTCCTGGCTCTGTGCTCCCTTCCCGCTCTGACATCCACCTTGGAAGCTGCTCTGGAGCTTCCTGAGTGGAGATGCCTGGCTGGGTCGTGCTGGTGTTCCCACAGCCGTGTCCAAAGGGCCCTTTGCAGCAGCCCCAGGCCACGAGCAGGAGCCAGCACTGCATGTGTGTGTGCTCAGGGATGTGCCCAGTGTGGCACAGGACACCAGGAACACCCTGAGTGCGGATCCAGCCCTTCTCCCAGCCCATCCCACACCGTTCCTGTGCCCCGGCTCTGCTGGCAGCCGCCTGTCCCCGTGTCCTTGTCACTGCCACGTCTGGCTCACATCTCCCTTTATTCCCTCTGACACCGGCTGTGGACACAACAAAACTCATCTCATTACGGGAAGACTGGGAGGGGAAATGGATCCCCCCGGTCGGGAAGCACCAGGTCAGGGCAGCCCCCGGCCCCGGGCGCTGCGGGGGCCGGGCTGGAGGAGGCAGCCCGAGTGTCCCGGGCCCGCAAAGCCGCTCCGGAGGGTGCGGGAGCCGAAGGGTTAAGGCAGCCGAGATGCTCCAAACGGCACCGGTGGGAGCAGGAGCCTCTCCATCCCCGAAAGCTGGCAAACAAATTAAAGCGATGTTGCAACTAAATGCGCGTCTTTGCAGCAGGGAGGAGGAGGAGGAGGAGGAGGAGGAGGAGGAGAGGCAGAGCTCGGCAAGGCTGCGGAGACAAAGGCGGTGCAGATGGGTGCTGGGGGACCCGCGAGCGCCGCGTGTGCTCGGCTCTCCAAAGCTCAGATTTGCTGCCGCGGCTCCGTGACAGCCGCTGGAATAACCTGGGGAGGATTTATGGCAACCACAGCAGGGCCAGGAGAGGGGGAGTGGGGGGAGCCTGCCTGGAAAGGGGCCGTGGCTGGGAATTGCTGCGCTGCCGTGGCTCCCCGGTGCTCGCGTCCCGTTTCTTCGGCAGGGATTGCGCGGTGCAGGGAGGGATGTGGCGCTCCGGGCACCGGGAGCATCACGTCCCCTTCCCGGCAGCCTCCTGACACGCAGCGGGGCCAGCATCTCCCGCTTGGCTCCCCGCGCTCCTGTTTGCCTTGAAGAGAAATTAAACAGAGAGATGCAAATCCCCCAAAAACGGCGTCGTGAAGCCGAGCCAGGGCTGGGGGGGCTGGTGGGGGGGGAGGTTGGTTGGCAGAGTTTGGGGTGTGGTGGAAGGGCTGTGGGGGGATTTGGGCAGCCTGGGTTCGCAGCCCTTGTCGGGGGGCTGGTGCTGCCCCCCCAGCACGGCCCTGCCGTTGTCCCCCGGTGGCAAAAGCATCTCATTTCTCGCAGAGGAGGGGTTTGTCCCCTCCCTCTGCAGCCAGGCCCGTGCAAGGAGCAGATGGAGCCCATCTCGAAGGTGCAGCCTCAGCAAAAGCAAAGCTAATAATGGAGTTAATTACAGCGCTGTGTGAGCGCCGGGGATCCCCAGGGGGTAGTGAGGATGGAGCAGCCCTTCTCTCTCCATCCCCAGCTGTGGGAGCTGGAGGGGCCCGGGGACTCCTCTGGCCCCTGTGGGAGCTGAGCTGCCCTCCCTGGGGGCGGCTCAAAAGCCCCTGGGTGGACTGATGGAGCTCTGCAGCTCTGGAGGTTGTATCCAGCCCTTCCCCCGGGGTTTTCCTGCCGTGTCTCACGGGCCACATTCACAGGGCGGCTGGAAGTGCCGAGCAGTGTCTGCTCTCCACAGGAGCTGCGGCTCCGACCGTGGAAAATGTGAATATCCCGAGGGCAAAGAATCTCCTGCCTTTGTCTCACTGCTGAGAAAGTGCAGCAGCTCCTGAACACCTCGGTTTAAAAGTGAATTTTAACTGAGCTTGAAAGGCCACTGGCCCCTTACCTGGTGCCTCTGGGCCGGCTCTGCTGCGTCCCCCAGCCACGCAGTGCCTGATCAGGGACATTTCCAATGGAAATTCCTGCCTGGAAGGCAGCGTGCTTGGCTCTGGCAGCCGGAGGATGTGGATGTGCTGCTTTGCCCTCTTGGTGCTTCTGCTCTGCTCCCCATCAGCTGAGCTAATAAAGTTTGGACTCGTTAAATCCACAAACGGTTTCAAACTCGATAGCCCTGGGCTGGCTCGAAGCTCCCTCCCACCCCTCCCCTCCTCTCTCTGCCAGGGAGATAAGGATGGCAGCGGCTTTAATTCCTCACTTATGCATCGACTGCCAATTCTCCTGTCCGCTCACCCTTGATAAATATTGCACAAAGATTTGGCTGCCAACGTGCCACAGATAAAGGTCCAGTCCAGCCAGATCTCCTTCCCCTGTGCCTTTTGTCTCGTTATGTGTCCAATTTGTTAAACAACCCACCTGCTGCAGGAGGCCCTTCCCGTCCCTGCTCCTGCCTGGGATTATTGCTAAAGCTCTGCCCGAGCCTCCAGCCCTGGGGGGGAACTGAGGACTCGCAGAAGGCGCCGTCATTTCCAGGCCTTGAGCTGTCATCGATCCGGGATCGATCGTGGAGCTGCCTTGGCTCGGCCCTCCCTGGGGCCTGGCAGGATCCTCGGCTCTGCCGTGCCATCCGTGAGCCCAGCCCCGGGACCAGAGCCCAGAGCAGGATTTGGGGACACTCCTGTGCAGCCAACCTGCAGAAGAGACGGTGCCAGAGGCTCTGGCTGGGCTCAGCCTTGCCAAAAACCCCTCTTTGCACCCCTGTGGCCCGGCTGGGTGAGCACAGCCTGGCGTGTCAGCAGAAGGGCTGGGGCTGGGGGGCCGTGCTGTGTCTTGCCCACCCACCACACCCAGGTTTGCTGGGTTTGGCCCCCCCCCCAAAAAAAACCCTGGAGGGGCTGAAAGCTGCTGTTTATTGAGGGTGCACAAATGTCTCATGGAGCTGATGGGAGCTCAGGTGTGGGATGGGCACGGGGAGCAATCGTGGCACAGGGAGCTGCTGGTGCCCGTGGGACCAAGCAGACAACAGTCCTGCTGCTGCAGCTCCTGCCCAAACCTTCAAATTCAGGGCTGCTGGAGGCTGGGGGACAGGCAGAGGCCATCGATTGGGCTGGGGAGGGAGAAACAGAGGAGGGAAGATCTCAAGAAACCTAATCACTGAGTATAGATCTGGCTGGTGGCGTGTTGAGGGCTGATACCCCCCCTCTGCATCCTCTCATGCGGCATCCTGAGTGGCGTCTCTCCCTCAGGAGAAGATCAAATTAAAGCAGGGAGGGTGGGTGATGCTCAGATCTGGACTCCTCTGAGCTCCATGTGGCACATAAGTCTGTTATTCCTGCTGGAAGAGCAACTGGCCCAGGCAGACTCAGGTGCTGCTTGGCTTCCAGGTCTCTGGACTCCCCAGTTTGGCAGTGGCTCTGACAACACAGTTTGATCACTATCGCTTCTAAATCCATAAGAAATGTCATCTAAAGTGCAACAAATAACGGCCTGATTATCTGCTGGATCCTAATTCTACTCCCTGGAGATAACAAGCTGCAATTTTCCCCCCAGGGCCATACAATAATCGCCCCAATTACTCCCGAGCAGTGGTTATTAAACTCATGGCACTGCTTTCGTTTACAAAGCAAAAATCATTAAGCAGGTGTCTGTGTTCACTGCTTGGCTGAGGGTGACCGGGGGGGATTATTCCTGCTTTGCTCTGGGAAAGAAGCCCTTGGTGGCTGTGGAAAACCTCCCTGGCTCTCCCTCCCTGTGTGGCACAGGATGAGCGGCCACATCAAGCGCAGCCGGTGCCTGTTAATGCCGGGGCTGGGATCCCGCAGGATGTAACCCCTACCCGAGTATAACGAGGAGGGATTTAGGGAGATAGCGTGGTTGGCAGGGCTGGGATGTGATGGGCATATCAAATCACCCTTCCCTCAGGCCCTTTGCAGGAGGGGAAGCGGCCGGGCGGGTGTCGGGAATCGGGAATCGCCGAGTTGTGAGCGGGTGGCCCATCCCAGTGCCGGTTGTTGCCCGCCAGAGCGTTGTCCCCAAGCTCCCTCAGCCTTCAGGCAGAGGGGACAACTCCCCCTTACCCACACCCCCACAAGGCCTGAGGTTCTCTTGTTGCTGCCACGTCTGTGGGCGCTCGCGTGTGCCGAGCGTGTTTGTTGGACAAGCACCTCCAGCTGCTGGAGGGGAAGAGCAGGGGAAGCAGAGGGAGGGCTGACCAGAACGAGGGAGGCAGCGCTGGTGAATTATGCATGACTCCAGGAGGAGAGAGCGTTATCTGCACGGACAAAGGCCTGTGCCAGCAGCCCTCTCGCCGCTGTACCTGCGCCTTCCTCCGCCCGCGCTTTATCTCCGCTCCCAGCTTGTAATTCAGCCCAAATATCAGAGGAAGCTGGAAGATTAATTTTCTCTGTTTGCATGGCAAAGGAGAGGGGACACGCTCTCACTCCCGACTCCCAGCTGCTTAATCCGCCACCGAGGCCCGCCGAGGGAAAAGGCACAAATTTATCAGTGCTGGCGAGTCGAGAGGGGCGTCGGGGACCCCCCGTGAGGGGGCTGGGGGCTTTCACAGCACGCTGGGTGTGTGGGCAATTTTGGGGGGGAACTCTGGGAATGTGCAAACCCTTCCCCCTAATCCCGTGTTCGGGTCCAGAGGAGGACGATGTGGGCTCGTTCCCCGCGCGTCCCTCCGGTGTGGGAGCGTTGCCGGCTGCGAAGTCGCTCAAATATTTAAGAGATGACAACTGTATTAATACAAAAACTAGATAAAGATCCCTCGAGTTTGAAGCGAGAACCATCAGCCCAGCTCTCATTTTCCGGCCCTCTCCCTCGGCTAACTCCCTGCCTTAAATGAAATCATAAATATCAGCCCACAAAGGTCCTTTGTCACCGCACGCAGCTCCCGGCGACAAGAGGTCATTCATTAAAAGCCAGATGAAGGCAATAGAGACTCCCTTTGTTTTTTAAGGAGTTCAGGGTAAGGCCGTGGCTTCTCTGCTGACATGAGCGCACCGTTTCACTGCGAGGAGCAGAGGGGACGGACCTTTCTCCAAGGAGGAATTGTCCTGGGTTCGCACAGGTGGGAGATCGCGGATCAGCCTGGTTTGTCGCTGGCCCGGTGGCACCGACACAACCCCTTCAGCCCCCACAGACCCCACAGGCTCCTCATTTCCCTCCTCACAGACCCCAAGGACGGTGCTCTGGCCATCCTTTGCCCCGCTGAGCGGTGGCTGAGTCCCCACAGCTCCCACCCAGCAGATGATCCTGATGCCTCTGGCTCGGGCCAGCCCTGAGAAATTGGAAATTAATTCCCCTAAAATGTCCATCTTCCTCAGGCTAAACCTCGGCTGCCCTCCCTGCTCAGCCTGATGGATTTTTTTCCTCACACTGCTGAATAATTCCTTTTTAACACCCGTGCTGTATTAATGCATCAAGAGAAATGTACCTCAGATAATTTTTTCTCGATTTTTTTTTCCCCCTGGAGAAAGGTTGTTGTCTTACAGTTTCTAGTTCCACTTGCTTTTTCCCTCTTTTTTTTTTCTTTTTTTTTTTTTGTCTTTTTTGAATGACTGTTTATGAAGACCATCGTGCTCTAACTGGTTTTGGATTAAAAGGAACTTAATAAAGGTTTCCCCTGAGCACAAAGCTGCACAAATGGGTTTCCAATTCCAGAGTTAATTACGGGAGCTGGGCACAGCGATTGCTGCTCGAGGAGCTTCACCAGAGGATGGGGTTGGCAGGGAGAGGTTTGGTTTTGCAGGGCTTTTTGCTCACACAGGGTAGGGTTCTCTCCATCCTCCCCCCAAAAAAATCCAGGCCTGGGGTCACCAGTGTTGCCCATCGGAATGGGAACGGCAAAAATCCAACTGGGGTGTCCCCAGTGCTGCCCAGCAAAGGGGGTGTGGTGGCTGGAGGAGGAGAGCAGGCCGAGAAGACCAACCAAGTGAGGCTGCAGGAGGAGCTGGAGGAGAATTTCTGCTGCCTGAAAATGTGAAGTGCTTCCGCCAGCAATCGCCGGAATCATCAAATTAGCATAAATTCTATTAACGGCTTCCCAGATGAGACATTTCAAGGCTTCTCCCTCCCTTCCTGACACAAACAAAAGGGAATATAATTACTTTGCAATAAAGCAGCTCCTGAAAAAGGCCCCTCAGCCCTCCTGCCTTTCTTCTGCCTCGGAACAAAGCTCTGTCTGGAAGGTGCTCCTGACCTCTCTGCTCCCACCACCTGATTTCCCGTGGAAGGAAAACCCCGCCAAGGTTTTAGGGATGGGTTTGAGGAGGGTTCTCAGAAGCTTTTTTTTGGGGTGCTGCCCTTGATGCTTCCCACCACGACTCAGGGGGAGGGCTTGGGAGGACACACATGTGGAAGAAAATCTAATTTGTGTAGCACAACCCCAGCACCTAACGCAGCAGCTCACTGCAGTCACCGCGGGGGCAATCGTCTCTAAAATAATGTGCCTCTTTTATCGGCACGAGATTGCAGATGACAATTTGAAAGAGAACAGGGTTTGCTCACGAGCAGAAGCCTCCTCAGCTCTTCGGAACGGCACTAAAACAACTCGCCTGCCTATAAATACGATCTGCCAATGGAGACATCTCAGCTGCGAAGATTTAATTACAGGCAGGAGCTGCAGGAGGCCCCGGGCTGACACCGAAACAGCTGAACCTCAGCAGAAATGGGGGTGCAGGAAGGGCTGGGAATGCACAAGAGGCTCGTGGCAAAGCCAGGTATCACTATCAGCCTCCAACTTCTGTAGCAAACGAGGCTTTTGGGGGATTTTCAGTGCCATGAGGTCAAATATCAAGGTCAACGCCCTTTCCCTTGCTTGGCCATTGACTTGGAGGATGAGCTGTGTCTCTTCAGGGCCTCTGTTCCCCCATAAAATGTAGATAATTTTATCCCTCTTCCTCAAGGAAGCCTCATTAATGTTTATTCTCCCAAAGATCTCGAGGCTTTTTACAATCTACTATGAATTAATTATTATTGATTAAGTTAAAACAAACCATATACACCCCAAATAAAGCAGTTCCAACAAAGCAGCTGGATGATGAGAGCAATCTGCTTTATGAACTCCCTTCTCCACCTCGCAGTTTTGAGCATTTAGTTCCGCTTTCTAATTGCTAATATCCATTCTTCAATTACCCGCTGTTTTGTTTCAGATTTAAAAGATTATGGCGGGTTGTTATTTCGTGATTATGTGAATTCCCTTTGTGTAGCTGTTGGGTTTGGGGTTGATCCCTTTGCATATTAAGAGCCTGTGTAGGGGGGGGACTTGTGTGGTTTGAAGTGGGTTTTGCCCTTGGCGTGGGGACCGGCTGGTACTCAAATCAATGTTTAAGGACAAAAGTTCCGTCGAATTTCTCCAAGTGACAACACTTAACAAACAGCCTCAGGGGGATGTTCAACAGTCCTGGGCTGCATCCAGCCCTGCACAGAACCAGGCTTTGCTTAAAATAACAACAGGGCTCGGCCTGAGGACAGTGTTTAACCCCCCAAACAGCCCAAAAGAGCCCCAGTGTTTGCGGAGGGACCCCCAGAAGGAGCCCAGGAGGGTTTTGGGGGCCCTGGGCCCTCTTGGCGTCCCCGGCCCGCGCTGTTGCCGAGCAACGCGTGGGTGCTCCGGCCACCAGCAGCAAAGATGGCGCCCTGCCGGCTTCATCCCGGGGACGCCTCGGGGCCCAGCGTTCCCCTCCGCCGCGCCCTCAGCAGACATGGCGGCCGCTTGGCTTCAGCAGCGCAGCGAGCGCGGCCAGTGAGAGGCCGGGATGGCGCCGGGGCCCGCGGGGATTGGCTGGCGGCGGGGGATTCAAACCGGAGCGCGGGGCGGGCGGTTGGGGCGGCGCGCGCGGCCCGGGCCGGAGCGGGAGCGGCGGAGCCGCGGCCCGGGTGAGGCGGCGGGGACGGGGCTGAGGGGACCGGGGGGGCTGAGGGGAACCGGGAGGGGCTGAGGGGAACCGGGAGGGGCTGAGGGGAACCGGGAGGGTCTGAAGGGAACAGGCGGGATCTGAAGGGAACCGGGAGGGTCTGAAGGGAACAGGCTGGATCTGAAGGGAACCGGGAGGAGCTGAGGGGAACCGGGAGGGTCTGAGGGGAACAGGCGGGATCTGAAGGGAACCGGGAGGGTCTGAAGGGAACAGGCTGGATCTGAAGGGAACCGGGAGGGTCTGAGGGGAACAAGCGGGATCTGAAGGGAACCGGGAGGGTCTGAAGGGAACCGGGAGGGTCTGAAGGGAACAGGCGGGATCTGAAGGGAACCGGGAGGATCTGAAGGGAACCGGGAGGGTCTGAAGGGAACAGGCGGGATGTGAAGGGAACCGGGAGGGTCTGAGGGGAACAGGCGGGATCTGAAGGGAACCGGGAGGGTCTGAGGGGAACCGGGAGGGGCTGAGGAGAACCGAGAGGATCCTGAGGGGGCTGAGGGGAACCGGGAGGGGCTGAGAGGAACCAGTGGCTCAGGTGAGTGTGCGGAAGGACTGAGGGGACCCGGCGGGTCCCCAATCCCGGACCCCGCCCAGGATCCCCCTCCCGGTGCTCTCAGGGCCCACAAGGGCAGAGCTTTCCCACACCTCGCAGCCCACACTTCACACAGAAAGCGCCGAGGTGTCTGTGCCTGCGAAATCAGGCACCTCGGAGCCTTCTGTGCTGGCCTGGTGTGTGGCGTTCCCTCCTGGCTCCTCTCCCAACCTTTTCCAGCACCGGCTCCCGGTGCTCGTTTCCCATCTCGGGCTGCCCTGAGTGCCCCAGCCATCTCTTGCATTAGGGAAGTCATTTCTGTCTTGCTGAGCTGGAAACTTTCCCCTTCGCTGCCTCTGTTTGTGCCGTTGTTGCTGCTGTTTTTCGAGGGGAAATGTGCTGACTGGCTGAATTTTAACAGCTATTTGCGGGAGGAGCTGTAACTTAAAATGCAGCTAAATTTAAAACTGTATTAAAATTCCCCAGAATGCTGCTCCTATTTTTGTCTTTTAAAAAACCTGCAAGTTTTCAGCGTTTTGTGTGGCCTAAATAGTGCCAAGTTATTTGTAGACAGGGCATGGGTTGTGTTCTGCAACCTCCCAGAGGGGAAAGGGTTTGGGATCCCTCATCCCTTGGGTTCTGAGCCTCTGGGCTGTACTGGTGGATTTTGGAAGCATTGAGGTGGGCAGATCTGCCTCTCTCTGGCTCTGTTATCCATAAATCATGGAGGGCTGTGCATCTTCATTCCCTATGAAAAAAAAAAATTAAATGCATATATCTCCACAAAACATAGCTTTTAACGACTCTTTCTGTTTGTGCAGCTTCCAAAACTCGCCAAAAACATTAAAATCAGCGGTTCTGAGGCTCTCCCTTGGGCTGGGGATGCGTTTTGTGTTGGGAGGGCTGTTTGTTTAGCCGTGGTTTTTTTTGGCAGGGGGATGGAGACTGCCATGGTGAACCTGCGGGGTCTGTACGAGCAGCTGATGCGCCAGGCCGAGGTCCTGAGCGAGGGAAGCGAATACCGTGAGTTGTGTCCCCGAGGAACCCGCTGGGGATGCTCAAACCGGTCAGATTTGGGTCTTTTCGTTGCTGAGGAGAGCAAAGCCCTGGGTGGAACTTTTGTCTGGGCCGTGTTCTGCTTGTAGCACCCTGGGTTTGTGCAGGGGTCTCGTGTTCCAGCTCCTCTGCTGCCAGGAAGGGCTGGGTCTGCAAAATGGAATTGCCCACGGACGTCTCTGGTGTGGGTGGGTTTGCCCAAGGGCTGGGGGGTTCTCCTCTCCTCGGTCAGGAGCGGGTTGTGGAGGTCCAGGACATCAGGAGGAATTTCCTCATGGAAAGGGTGGTCAGGCACTGGGAGGGAGGTGGTGGAGTCCCTGTCCCTGCAGGTGTCCGAGAAATGACTGGATGTGGCGCTCTGGGCTGGGTGACAAGGTGGGGACAGGCTGTTCTCTATCTTGGAGGGCTTTTCCAGCCTCAGGGATCCTGGGATTCTGTGTGAACAGAGGAGCTGCTGTGCCCCCTAAAGCTGGGCCTGTTCTCCCCCTCAGAGTTCATTCAGCTGGCCAAGAACTTCGAGGAGTATCGGAGGAAATGGCAGAAAACGGAGCACGAGCTGGGCAGGTACAAAGACCTGCTGATGAAAACGGAGGCCGAGCGCAGCGCCCTGGACGTGAAGCTCAAACACGCCCGCAACCAAGTGGATGTGGAGATCAAACGGAGGCAAAGAGCTGAGATGGACTGCGAGAAGCTGGTGAGTAGTTCCCCTGTTACCCCCTCGGCTCTGAGAGTGTGGGGACAGGGTGGTTAAACTGCACTGATCAACAGGAAATAAGGGCTGGCAATCAGGGGGAGGGGAAAAAAAAAAAACAAACCAGCAAGGAATCAGCTTTGATCTGGGAAAGGAGAGTGGCTGCTCCTGGAGCTGAGCTGCCATTACCTGTCTGAGCTGCCATTACCTGTCTGAGCCATTTGCAATCTATTGACAGGAGCTCTGAGAGCTTATCTCCACTATCTGAAATGCATCAGATGGGGTCTCGCAGTAATTAGACACAGTTGATCCAGCTGCTGATGGTATCTGTGCTTACAGGAGCGGCAGATCCAGCTGATCAGGGAGCTGCTCATGTGCGATGCTTCGGGCAGCATCCAGCTCAGCGAGGAGCAGAAGTCTGTCCTCGCCTTCCTCAACAGGCCAAAGGTTTCTGTGGGGGGCTCAGGAAGCAAAAGGTAGGAAAAAAACCCAGCGTTTTGTCTGCAGTGTCAGGTGTCAATCCAACCTCTGTGCCACATCCAGCGCCCTTGTCAACAGCTTTGCTTTTCGTTCCGGTTTGAAATACGACTCTTCTGAGTCACCGAGATTGTTCTGGAACCACGGCTGACTGAAAGCCAAAGCGATACAAATTTCCTTCTAATTTTTGGTTTTCAGGCTGTCTACAATAGACGAATCTGGCTCAATTCTGTCAGACATCAGCTTCGACAAGACCGATGACTCACTGGTAATGTCACTCCACGTTCTGAAGTTCTCCTCCCCTGGAGAGCCTGAGGGGAGGGGGTTGATCTCCAGAGGCCCCTTTGTGTTTAGATTACCAGGGTGTTCAGCTGGTTTGCCTTTCCCCAGTGTGCTGTTGGCTAAAAACCCCTGGCCAGTGGTATCTGTGTGGTGTTTACCTTCACCCAGTGCTGTGTATTTCCCCCAGGACTGGGACTCCTCCGTGGTGAAAGCTGTCAGGCTGAAGAGGAGGGAGAAGCGGGTAAGTTCAATTGTTCCCCGTCAAATAGTTCCCATTGTTCGCCCTGGCAGCCACAATGCCACCATCTGTCACCTCAGTTGCTCTCTTTTGTGTGTGTGTAGTTTGTTGTCTTATTTTATTGCTTCTCCTTTCTTAGGTTGGGTTTCTTCTTTTTTTCTGAGCTCAATTATAAAGCTGGCTAGGAAAATCACTTTAAAAAAGCAGCGTTTTTGAGGCCTCCTGATTCCTCATGGCAGCCTCAAGGTTGCCATGAAAGACAGGGTGCCGCTGAAGGGCTTGTCTGCACACACCACAGGTTCATTAAGTGTTCAGTCCTTCTAATTATCCGGGGCCAGTATAACACCAAGTTAACAGCATTGCTGCTTCCTAAACCAGAAGGAACTGTCTCTTTTCAGCGCTCCTCCAGGCAGTTCACTGAAGGCCCACCAGGTCCTCAGAAGAAATCCAGGTCCATCAGCAACACAGCAGACCAGGTATGGTGGTCCCAGCTGGGTTTGGGTGTTCTCAGCCTCCCTCTTTGCAGGGCCACTGGAAACTCCCGTGTCCCGTCTCTATTCCCGTCACCAACAGCGTGTTTGTCACCACAGGCCAATGAATCCATCGTTGCAAAGACGACTCTGATGGTCCCCAACGATGGTGGCCCCATTGAAGCCATTTCCACCATCCAGACTGTGCCTTTTCCTCGCAGGAGCCGGAGGAAGAGCGGTAGGTGTCACATCCCTGCCCCAATCCCGGCGCCGGGGGCCATCCAGGACCTTGCAAGCTGCTTATGGTTTATAATTCCCGTGCTTCTGGGGGCAGAGGGTGATCCCAGTGAGCCAACCTCTCCCTCTTTGTGTCTTCCAGGTCCTTTGCAGGCCTGGAACAGCGAGTCCAGCATAGGCAGCAAGCAGCTGGAATCCAAGTCGGACACTGACGGCTCCAGCACCCCCCAGCACGGGGGTGTGAGGCTGCACGACTTTGTTTCCAAAACGGTGGGTCTGGAGGCAGGAGGACCCCGAAAAAGCATCTCCCTCCATCTAGAAATGTGTGTGACAAGAGGCTGGGAGCTGTGCCAGGGCAGGGTCAGGTTGCTCTCAGGGACATGGTGGGATTGTTGGGGTGTCTGTGCAGGGCCAGGGGTTGCACTTGAATCCTTGTGGGTCCCTTCCAACTCAGGCTATTCTGATTTTGTGATTATGTCTCAGGTCAACATGACCTGTACCAGTCACCTGCACAGCTCAGGGAACACATTACCCAGTTTAACTCCTGCTGAGTTACCACACCGCACTAATCTCTGCCATCTGTGTGCTCTGGACCATCAGGTTATCAAGCCAGAATCGTGTGTCCCGTGTGGAAAGAGGGTGAAGTTTGGGAAGATCTCCCTGAAGTGCCGGGACTGCCGCGTGGTCGCTCACCCCGAGTGCCGCGACCGCTGCCCCCTTCCCTGCATCCCGACCCTGGCAGGAACTCCGGTCAGGATTGGAGAGGTGGGTTTGGGTGGGTCTGGAGGGCACCACCCCAAGCAGGCTGATGTTGGCTGGGGTTTGGGGCTCGCTCTGCCTCCCCCCGTTGCTCAGAGCTGCACAGTAACGTGCAGATGAGCTCGGTGATGCATCGTTCCATAACCAGGGAGGGGGTGTAGGGGTGTGATGCGAGGAGGGCGTTGAGTGGGCAAGGTGGCAGCTCCAGGCAGGCTCTGCAGCCTTGTGCTGATGGATGCAGTGTTGTTCTTCTCCGGGCTGATGAAGAAGAAACAATTCTTGCTTCCAAAGCGTAGATCTCGCCGTGAATCCCTGAGAGAGTATTTTCCGTGTCTCGATGACTGAATGTCTCTCTCCCTATTTTTCCTTCTGCCTCTTAGGGGACCTTGATGGATTTTGTCCCTTCCACTCCTCCAATGATCCCTTCCATCATCGTGCACTGTGTTAATGAGATCGAGCAACGAGGGCTGCATGAGGTAAAAGGAAAATGAGGTGTGAAACGGCGCTAATGGAACGGGTTGCGGTGTTAGGGAAGCAAGTTGTTAACCCCCAAATCCCTTATTTATGGCGTGGATCACGGGTGACTGAGGGAGCAACAGCAGCGCTCAGGTGTGGAGAGGAGGTGGGGGTGGCAGAACATCAGTGGATCTCCCGCCTCTTTGTGCCCACAGACCGGCCTTTACCGCGTCTCTGGCTGCGACAAGACCGTGAGGGAGCTGAAGGAGAAGTTCCTCAGAGCGAAGAGCATCCCCCTGCTCAGCAAGGTGGACGATATCCACGCCATCTGCGGCCTCCTCAAGGACTTCCTGCGCAGCCTCAAGGAGCCCCTTCTCACCTTCCGGTTAAACAAGGTTTTCATGGAAGCTGCGGGTGAGCAGCTGCCCTGGGGCACCTCCAGCTCTCTGGCTTTTTGGTGGCTGTGGGTTTAGCCAGCGGGTCTTGGTGCTCTGTGGAGCCCTCCACAGAGTTTTAGGTGGGCAGGGTACAAAATTCTTACAGTGGTGTGGGGAATTTTCTGGCTGCCTCGTTTCTTGGGGTAGCTGTGGCTGTGAGGGGAATATTGCAGCTTCTTGGACCACTTTCTGAGGTCTAAATGTTGGGTTTATTTTTTTTTTTCTTCCCCCCCCCCTAGAAATCCCAGATGAGGATAACAGTGTTGCTGCTATGTACCAAGCGGTTGGAGAACTTCCCCAGGCCAACAGGGACACCTTGGCTTTCCTCATGGTCCACCTGCAGAGGTCTGTTGTGCTGGGCAGGGGGGTTGGATCACCCAGGTGATCTTCGAGGTCCCTCCCACCCCAAACCACTCTGTGATTCTCAGAGGGGGATGTTGCTTTCCCTAATTGGCCCTTGAGAGCATTTAAAATCTTCACTCTGGGAAAAAAACCCCTCATTCAGAGGCTGAAGTGTGTGTGGGATGAGGGAGTTGTAATGATAAGTGAAGGGGGAGAGCTACATTCTTTCTTCTTTCCTTTTCACACAGGGTGGCCCAGAGCCCTGATACTAAAATGGACATCTCCAACTTGGCCAAAGTGTTCGGCCCCACAATCGTCGCCCACGCGGTCCCTGATCCTGACCCCGTGACCCTCCTGCAGGACACCAAGAGGCAGCCCAAGGTAGGGCCAGTTTGGGTGAAATCAGCCCCTTTAAAGAACTCCAGTTGCCAGAGGGAGCTGAGGAGATGCTTGGCTGCTGTCAGAGCTGTGTGCTGGCTCCTGGCACTGCAGAGGGGCTTCCTGCAAGAGCATGTGATGACAGGGCAAGGGGGAATGGCTTCAGACTGACAGAGGGCAGGGTTAGGTGGGATATGGGGGAAAAACATCTTCCCTGTGAAGGTGGGGATGCCCTGGCACAGGCTGGGCAGAGAAGCTGTGGCTGCCCCATCCCTGGAAGTGTCCCAGGCCAGGCTGGAGCAAGCTGGGCTCAGTGGAAGGTGTCCCTGCCCATGGCAGGGGATGGAACGAGGTGATCTCTGTGATCAGCAGCTCACAGGTGTCTCTGTAGGTCGTGGAGCGACTTCTGCTGCTGCCCATGGACTACTGGAGCCAGCTGATGATGGTGGAGCAGGAAAACATCGACCCAGCACATGTCATCGAGAATGTCAATGCCTACTCCACCCCCCAGACACCTGAGGTTCAAGGTAGCCCTGGGTTCTGCTCTGTTATTAAAATAACCCTCAATCCAAGGTGTCTGGGAGGCTGTCAGAGCCAGCCCTTCCTGCTTGCCTTACGGAGCAAGAGGGAAAAGCAAACACCAGATCTGTCTGGTGTTTCTGACAGACCCTGGGGAATGTCTGGTCGTTCCCTGCACGGCAGTGGAAGCTTCAGCTGTGCCCACAGCGCTCACTTTGGTGCCTCTCTCTTGGCAGTGAGCATCCTGGGACCCCTCACCACCCCGGAGCAGAAGCTCTCCAAGACTCCATCGTCCAGCTCCCTGTCCCAGAGGGTCCGGTCCACCTTCAGCAAAACCACTCCCAGGTCAGTGCCAGGGGGTTGTTGGAGTGACTGCAGGGCAGCTCAAGGAGGACTGAAAATAGACTTGTGGGCCCAGCTGTGGGAGCAGAACCCTCCCTGAAGCAGTGCTGTGGCAGCAATAGCTGAGTGATGGTTGATGGACACGTGGTTTTTGGGGGGTGGGTAAAACCTGGGTGAATGTCCCCTAGCAAAGGGACAGCAGTGGACCTCTATCCCAGCTTCCAAACTGGCTTTTCTTTGTTTCTCTTGGCTCAGGTTTGGGAGCAAAAGCAAGTCAACCACCCAGCTTGGGCATCAGGGGAACTTCTTTGCCTCTCCCATGCTGAAGTGAGGACCTGGGAGCTGGTCTCGTCCTGGCATTTGCACACCAACAAGTCCAACAAGTGCAGGTTGTCCCCGTGGCCCCTCCCCGGCAGTTTTATGTACTCAGATGTTTTGCCTTCTTTTATCTTTCAGCTTAACTGAGACTTCTTATTGGGATTTTATTGTGCAATGTATTTTTATTCCCTGATGCTGTGCTGAATGCAGAGCTGGTGGAGGCCGTAATGAGCAGGGTTTGTTCAGTGTTTAATCATTAAAGCTCTAGAGGAACTGACTGACACTTTCACTAACACCTGGTTTGCTCCCCGTGTGAAGCAATTTTGAGCTGGGTGGGGTTTTTTTAAGGCTCCACGGGATGTTCTTGGCACAGCACTGCCCCAAACTTTGTCAGGACTCCAGGCTTTTCCATCAGCACAGTCTGCAATTCCCACCTGGCCGGTTGTGCAGCTGGAATCCTGAGGATGGCAGTGTTGGATCGGTCTGGTGGGCAAAAGCCTCTCTTCCTCAGTGAAGCTCCCCAGGGGCTGAGGCTTCTCCAAAGGAACCTTTCCTACACTTTGTTCACAAGTGGGGAAGTTTTTGGAGGAGTGTGGAGATGCAAACCCAAAGGATTCCTGGGCAGCCTCGATGGATTAGGGCTGGGGATGGGGAGGAGAGGGAGCAGTGGGACTGGCAGTCCCTTCTTTCCCCCCTGGGGACCTGTGACCTTGCCCAGGGCTGTGTGAAAAGACCTGGAACACACAGGAGTTTCCAAAGTGACTTTTTATTGAGCTCTGGTAAAACTGTCCTGACTGTGCAGTGCAGTAAATTCCTGATGACCCACAGCTCTGTTCTCTGGCTCTGTTTTTTAGTTTGTGCTGGGCAGTTTTACCCCAGACAAGGGGGGTTGTGGTGCTGCAGGGCCCGGGGTGTGTCCTGAGGAGCTCCTGCCCCTGGGGCTGAGGGACCTGGCAGCCTTGGCTGGGGGCAGGATCATGGCCTGTGGTCCTGAGTCCAGAGGAGGAAGGAGAACAGCAGGTTTGGTCCCCAATCTTGTGCCAGGAGCTGGAATAGCCTGGGGAGGGTGGGTGTGGTGGCCTGGGGTGTTTCTCTTTCCTGGAGTACAAAATATGTTTAAATAAAAAAACCAGCCCCAAATGGACTCTAAACAGAGAAGGAGAAGAACCATCAGCCTTAAATCCTATTCCTCCCAGCAAAGAAGAAACAACCCATGGCTGTTTTCCCCCCTCAGGATGCTGATGAGTCACTGCAGCAGCCAAAGGGGGGGAGGAGAATTTATCACTGGAGGAGTGGGGCAGATGCTTTCATCTTCCCTGTTTATTTTTTCCCATTACTGACAACCTTTAATAGAAAAAGAGTAATTTGGCCATTAGTTGTTAGCACTGCTGGATGAACAATGAGTGATTGCTCTGCCTTGATTACACTGAGGCATTAATCAGGCACCCAACAATGTCTGATTCTTGAATCCTCATGTCAGCACCTTCTTTCAGCATCTCTCTGTGCCTTTTGGCTCACGGGATGGGGCTGAGGGAGTTGGGTTGGGGTGTTTTGGCTCCCTGGGCTTTGGGGGCAGAGCTGGGGGGAGGAGAAATTCCCAGCTCCAGTCCCCCAGGGCTCGGCAGAGGTTCTTGGCTCCTTCTCCTGCTAAAATTAGGGCTGGTTTGAGGACGATTCCGGTTCTGTGAAACAGCTATTAATATCATACAAAGCTTGGATGGGAGTCAAAAATAACAGCAAGTGAGCAAACTGCCAACCAGCAGCCAGAGGGGAAGTGCAGGCAGGGCTTGGTGTTGTGGGAGATAAAACCAGGGGGGGAAGGAAAAGCGAAAGAGAGGCCGAGAGGGGGGGGAAAAAAACCAAACCAAACAAATATTTTGTTGATGGCTTGGAAACAGTCCTTGACTTCAAAACATCAAATGAAGCTGATCGAAGGACGAGCTGATTGAAAGGAAATCCTGCTTTATTGGCCCAGAGCTGGGAAAAAAACACTTGTGAGTTGTAAAGTCCCCACCAAGGAACGGGAAGGGCTCGGACCAGGTTGGGTCTTTTTAACCCCTCCAGGCCTTGGAAAAGAATCCACTCCCCTTCCACTGAGATGATCCAGGGATAATCCATGGAGTGGAGACTTGACATGGTCTGTAGGGATAAATCATCTTCACGAGCCCAAACTGAGCTGCTCAGGAGAGGCAAACAGGGGTCTAAAAGGGAACGAGGGGAAGATCCTTCCCAGGAAAAAAAAAGGTGCCAACAAAGGAAGCTCTTGCTGCCCGTGGAGTGCCCAGGGTGGCCCTCCCGACTGCACCTGAGACCCGGAGGCTGCGATAATTCCTGGGGAAAAGGGCTGTTGGTGCTGCAGGGCCGGGTTCCAGCAGAGGGCAGAGGATCCCCGCGGATGACACAGGGCTTGCACCGCCCTTCCCTCCCCAGCCCGCAAGCGGCAGTGATGCTTTTGAGCCGCTTTTTGGATTTCTGGATTTTTTTTTTTTTAAACAGTGTTCCAGTCCCCGCCCCCTTGATTTGGATGAGATAATAAATTAAAAAAAATCTGTATTTGGAGGAGCGGGTGTAAACATGGAGGGGAAACGGGGCAGGACTCAAGAGAGCGTGAGATGCCTGGGGAGGGCATTCATCCCCCTCTGAATGGAGCTGAGAGGGGCCCAGGAAACTCGGGGGAGTTTAAAATGAAAACGGAGTTCAAAATGAAATAAGTTTTTATATAATAGACTCGGAAACTGTGAACTGCAAAAGCAGTCCCTGCCTCACCTCAAATATTCGCCCTCCTCGTTTTCAGACGCTCCCTGATTCTTCCTGGGAACTGGAGCCACTGACTCCCCTGGATAAAGGTAATCTGGGCGTTCTGTTTTGCTGATACCTGAGCGTGGGGTGACACTGAACCACCAGATGGGATTTCTGCCCTGGGCTGACTCAGGGAGCTCTACCTGGAGCTGGCAGGGAAGAGCTGCACTCCAGACACTCCTGGTTCCCCAGAACCTCCCAGGGATGCTTGTGAAGCTCTCCCATAACCTGCAGCCAGAGCTGGGCAGCTGCTCAGGCAGAAAAAGCAACTGTTGAGCCTTTCAAAAAAAAAAAAAAAATCTTAGGCTGAAACACCTTCCTGAAGTGCTCGCCTGCCCTGAACAAATCCACCTCCAAAAAAAAACCCCACGAGCATCTGACTGTCTTGTTTACAGCCTGGTGAGCCAAGGAGGTCTCTGCAAGGGCTTGATCAGCAGGAGAAGCAATCCCAGGGAGAGGGAGGCGGATGATAGCGAGGGTTCAGTTAACTGCCCCGTGCCTACGTGAGGCCCCAGCACCCCACACGTGCTCAGGGCGTGTCTGGGGGACCCTCTGATACCCAACGGCCTCTCCTGGCTCCTCAGGGAGGGGCCCCTTTATCTGCCAGAGCAAAGCCTTCCCCCCCTATCAGTGCCCAGAGAGACACTCAACTGTCTCCCAACTGCTCTGATGGGACGATAAACCCCGAGCCTTTCGCTGCTCAGCGGGGCTGGGAAGCTCCAGAGCACCCAAAGGGGCTGGTGTGGGGCAGGGAGAGCAGCACAACCCCGGTCAGGAGCACCAGGAGGGCTTGGGAACCTCAGAACTGCCCAGAGAAACCTTGTCCATGGGTGGGTTTTATTTAAAAGCACTCAAAACACCCCAAAAAGTGAGACCAGGTTGCCAAGGGGGGGATCTGTGAGTCACAAACCACCTTCCACCCCTCCTGTGGGTCACCCAGGGCCTCCCCCTCCACTGTGCCCTGGCTGAGCCCTGCTGTGCTGCAGTCTTGAGGGAGAAAAAGGGTTAAAAAAGAAACTGGAGCAATTTTGGGGAGGGTGGGAAGAGCTGGGGTCAAAGGGCAAAATGATCCAGGAGGGATGTTGGGGTAGGGGACCTGTGGAGTCACCACACAGGTAACTCCAAGGAGGAACAGAAACCCTGAGAGGAAAATGAACCCTGCCCAGGCCAGGCTAACCCTGGCATTTTAAATCTGGGACAATCTTCCCTCCATCCTTTTTGGTTTTTTCACAGGGATGAGGAATCAGGGATGTTATTTTGGGAAAGGCTGTGTGGGGGGAGGATGCCCGGGGTCTCTCAGCAGCTGAGATGGTGCAGGATGTGCTGGCATCCCAAGTGATATCCCACTAAAAACTGCTGGCTGGTCCCGTTTCCAGTGCCTTTTTTTCATAATGATGTGATTTTCCTCAATCCCTCCATCACACAGGGGTTTTCTCCCTTCTGCAGGGCAGGACCAGCTCGAGCTGCTCGTTTTTTGAGGGATCTGAGCGCTGGAAGGGGGCAAAGGCTCTTCCACCCCAAAGGAAAGCTGAGGGATGGTGGGATCTGCCAGGAACAGTCTGGAATGCCCGAGCACCTGAGCCCAGCACCGCTTGGCAGGAGGATTCCCAGAGCCTGGTGGTGATCAGTGGGTGAGCAGGGAGGTCCTGCCAGCCTCAGGCACAGAGGACTCTGCAAAGTGCGTGGAAAAAAAGGCGGAGGATGAGCAGAAACCCCTCACTCAGCACTCTGGGCCCGTTTCTCCCTCTGCAAAAAGCCCTTCCCTGGGGCAGCTTCACCTCCCCTGGCTCGCAGAGGTCTGAGGACTCCACCAAATCTGCAAAACGAGATACTTCCCCTGCCCAACCCACTCTTCCTTCAGCCCTTATCTGCCCTTACCTGTCTCCACTAGGTCGCTTTAAAAGTCCCAGACACTTCCTTCCTTTGTTTGCCTTGGCCTGAAAGGGAAATGTCTTGTGTGTCAAAGGTTTAGTGCAGATTCCTGTCCAAGCTCTTTGCTACCCCTGGCCTCAGCAAATCAAACTTCTTCTCCTGACTGGGGGGTTTGCACAGGGACTCAGACTCTCTGCCCACATTTTCCCTCTCCTGCCTCCACGTGGGATTGAGATGGAGCGTCAAAACAAGGGGTTAAATCCCTCCTGGCTCCTGCAAATTGGGCATGGAAAAGAAGTTCTGGGTTTCAGATGAATTCTCCCAGAGCCAGAGTTGCCCCAGGGCTGTGCCACTGTCCCAGCTCTCCTTTCCCTGCAGGAAAATCCTCTGGGCTTAGAGACCCAAAGCAGGACACAGGGTTGGGCAGGAGGCACAGCCTCGGTGAGCTTTGCCTGGGCTGAACTGAGGGCTCTGAGGAACAATTTCCTCATGGAAAGGGTGCTCAGGGGCTGCCCAGGCAGGTGGTGGAGTCCCCCCAACCCCTGGAGGTGTCCAAGGAAGGCCTGGCCGTGGCACTCAGCGCTCTGGGCTGGGGGACAGGGCAGGGCTGGGGCACAGGGTGGGCTCGGTGATCCCGGAGGGCTTTCCCAGCCTCACCGATCCCGGGATTCCACCACTGCAGTGCCCTTTCCCCGGGGCCCACTGGCAGCCCCTGTCATCCTGGAGGAGTGGGGAGCATGGGGAGCCTGGGACATGCCTGGGGAGTCTCCCCTTCCCCCCCCAGCCCCGTGTTTTGCCGAGGAGCAGAACCAGGGCCGGGCGGTTCAGCAGCAGCAGCAGCAGCAGGTGCATCCCCAGAGCAGGGTTTGGGGCTCAGGGAGGGCTGGGCTGACCACAGGGCGAGCAGCACTTCGGTTGGGAGCTCCTTCCCCTGCAGATGAGCACCTTGATGTGAGATCTGAGCTCCCCAATCTCCTCCTCCTCCTCCTCCTCCTCCTCCCGGCTCAGCCCGGCGCGGTCGCGGGAGCAGCACCTGCCTGCAGAGGGGGGAACCTGGTGCCAGCAGCTGCCAAAACCACAGCCTCCCCCCCCCTCCCTCACCCTGCAGCATCAAAACAGACCCAACCAGGGCTGTTCTCACCCCAAACTCCCCGGGGCAAACAGGAAGCCACGAGAGCGAAGGGGGGAAGAGCGAGAGCGGGGTGGGTGACCCCAGGAACGTTCCCCCTGCAGGGCACACCTGCATGGAGAGAGGGTTTGCAGGTAAACACGAGGGTTTACCTGGCCAGCTGATGCCCTGGCAGGTGGATCCCAGGCAGGGGGATGAGCTGAGTGCCCTCCCAGAGCTCTGTCCCGACATTAATCTGCAGCTGCTGTTGGGGCCAGGGGGGAAAAGCGATGAGGAGCCACAAAATTGGAGGCCAGGCACGGTCCCCTCCAGTGCCAGTGCCACTCTGCCTGGCCCCTCAGAGAAAGTCACACTCCCCTGGGAAAGGAAGGCCTTTCCACCTCTGGACTCCTCTGGGAGAGTGGAACAAGCCACGGAGTGGTTTGGGTTGGAGGGGACTTCGGGATCGTCCCGTTCCACCTCCCTGCCGTGGCCAGAGCCGCCTTCCCCCAGGCCAGGCAGGGCTCGGGGAATTTCTCGTGCCTTTGCCTGCAGGTTTGGAAGTCAAGGCCTCCCTGTAGGACATCTCATCCCTCCTCTTCGCAGCTGTTTCTCATTTCCCAGCCATATTCTTCCTGTTTTGTTGGATTTATGGTGGTTTTTTTCCCAATAATTTTTTTTTGGGGGGGGTGAGGGGCTGCGTTTAGCAGCTGCACAATCCTCCCTGCGCCCATCACTATATTTAGCCTCAGACAGGCCAAACAAACGAGCGGGGCTGGGGTTAATAATCACAAAATGGAGTTCAGCTGTCTCTGAACTGTGATTTACTGGGACCGGGGCCAGGCAGGATCCTCCTCACGCCCTCGCTGCGGAATCGCCCACCAGGGACCAGCCTCTTCAAAAGGGGAGAAATCACTTAAAATGCCTCTTCTCCAGCTCAGCCTCGGGATGGGAGATGGCTCAAGGGCGTCTGCTGGAGGGAGAGGCCCTCCAGGGAGGTGCTGGCGTGGTGTGGAGGGGCACTGTGGATGTGAGCTGGGGCTCAAACCGTTATCCAAAGGTTTTTCCTAAGACCCACCCGCCCTTTACGCCAAGCACCATCTCAGACCTGCTCCAGCCTGGGTGGGTGCAGGAACAGCAGCCCTGCAGTTCCCAGGAGATGAACAGGACACTCCTCACCCCAGAGAGGTTTGGCTTGGAAGGGACCGGAGAGCTCATCCAGTTCCACCCCCCGCCTCAGCTTCCCAAAGGTCCTTCCAGGGAAACGCCCCCTCTGGGAGTTGGGATGCACAAAATCCTTCTCTGCCTCACCCAGCTCTTGGTGAGTCCTGCAGGGAGATGCCCAGTTTGCCTTTGCCCTCAGGTGTCCCCTTTTTTTGGGGACAGATCCACCTCCCACACCTCCAGGAACCCCCTGAGATCCACAACCCCTTCCAGAGCTCAAGCTGCCACTCAACAGATCCCTTTGGCTTCTCCAGTTGGCAGGACAGGAGCTTTCCTGGTCCCTTCACCTTTGGAACACAAAGGTTTTGTTTTGTTTTTAATCTTTCCTGCACTCTCTCTCTCTCTCTCCCTCCTGGGAGACTTTGGTCTCTCATCCTAATTAGCCAGGATTGCCTCACTTCCTCAGATATGGAAATGTCTCTTTGTTAAGCAGGGCAGTGTCTCTTTTATCTCCCCCCCTGGCCTCCGAAATTCCTGCCTGTCCTTGCACCTCACGTGCAAAATAATCCAAATATCCAAGTAGGGAAAAGTTTGTGGCTCCTCATCCAGACCTGGCTCAGCCCTGGAGCAGGAGTGGCCCCGTCCTGGGCACTCAGTTCTACCTGCTTGGCTGCTGAGCTCTCTCCTGGGCACATCCCGCCCTCAGCCATCGCCTTTCCCCTCAGGAATCTTTATTTCCACCTTTTTTTCCCCCCTGTTTCAGGATATCAGGTTCTCCCTCTTTCCTTCTGGCTCTCGCCATCCTCAGGAGCTCACCCAGGACCAGGCTGTGCCCCCACCACGGGAGTGAGACACTCAGAGCTGCAGAACCACCCTGGTGTCCCCAATTCCCACCAGATCCAGGGGATGATGCTGCCCCTGCATCCCTCAGCAGTGCCTGCGAGTCCAGGGGGGACTCTGCCGGAAAACCCTGGAGATGCTGGGCCTGGAACGTCCCCTCGGGTGGAAGTTCCCATCCTGGGCCCAACCTGAGGGCTGTCAGAGGAGCAAACAGCGCTTCTGTGACCCCAGAATCCCAAAGATTGTGTCTGGGAAGTTGATGTGCTCCCTCAGCTGAGCTGTGCCCTGGGATGGGGTTGGGTCCCTGACCCGTGACAGGGGTGGAACAAGATGAGCTTTATGGCCCCTTGCAGGCCAGAATTTCCCCGTTTTGTTTCTCTCTGGGCCCCCCTCTCCCACCTGCTCTCTCAGACTGCCCATTTCCCTCATTTCCCAGCCATCAGCACAGTTTCCCTCGGGACAGGGAGTGCTGGGTTGATGCCCCATCCCCAGCTCTCAACCCCGCACAGCCACTGAACCCTCTCCAGGACAGGGAAAAAAACCCAAAAACCACCAAAAGCAAGAAGAGGAAGACCCCAGTTCTGTGCCGGTGACACTTTCTCCCGGGCCAACAACCGAAAGTTTTAGGAGCTGAGCCCTCTGGATGCCGCATTCCAGCTTGGTAACATTTCGGTAACACATTGCAAACGTTTGACTCATAGAAACTTGGACGGCTGGAGCCGGGGGAGGGGGAAGAGCGTCACATTCCCATTCCCGGGCAGGGTTTGCTTGTCGGATTTTTAATTTTTTTTTAATTATTTTTTTATTTAGAAAAAAAAGGAAAGAAAAGAAAGAAAGAACTGAAACTTCTCTCTGTTTAATGGGAGGAGGGGGGAAAAAAAAAGTGTTTGAGCCTGACGGCTTCCACCGGCTCCTCTCGTTGTGTCCGGGAGTGAGGGGCTGGTGGGGGAGGGCTCTGCTGCCAAGGGAGGGACCCGGGGCCGCTGAACTCGCTTTTCTTCTGCAAGTTTTTTTTTTTTTTCCTTTTTTTTTTTTTTTTTTTTTTTCTCCCTCTGCGTTCCCAGGGCAGGGTTGGCTTTCTAGGTTTGATAAAGCATTTCCTTCCATTGTCATTCTATACGGCCTCTGGGCCCTGGGCTCAGTCCCTCCCCTTTCGCCGTCCCCTCTCTCTCTTTCTCTCTCTCTCTCTCTCTTCCTGAACTTCAGTGAATCTCGAGATATAAAGAAAGCAGCTGCCTCCCTTTAAAGCACGGCTCGAACAATGAGACCTCCTCTCCCAGGGCTTTAACTCCTCTGGATGCAAGGACAAAGCCAGGGTGAGTATCCCGCTGCTGGCTCTGCCTCTCCCCGCATCTTCCAGCGCTGCCGGGGGTTGTTCTGGGGGCAGCGCCGGCTCCTCTCAGCCCTGCCCGGCTCTGGAGGGACCAGGAGCGGATGCTGCGAGTGGAAAATCCACCCAAAGCCTCCCCAGAAAGCTCTGACACCGTCCCCGCCCGGGCGGAGCGGGAGGCTTTGCCAGCCTGGATTTTTGGGGTCCTCTCTGGCTCCCTGCCCTGTGGGGGTTTGGGGTGAGGAGGGGGGAAGAGCAAAACCTGGCTCAAAATCCTGAGCTCAAAGGCAAAGAAAAACAAACATGATGCAATCAGGCGTGACCGAGCCGGGCCGTGCGAGGGGAGGGAGAGGAGGGAGGGGAGGGGGATCCCCCCGGGGCTGTGCAGGGCAGGGGATGCTGAGAGAGGAGCTTGGGAAGGGGGGGGGGAGATGCCTGCGGGATCCGGAGGCGCTCGGGCTGGGAGGTGAGGGCCGTGTGAGGGCGAGAGGGCGTGAAAGGAGCATCCCCTGGGGGTGCAGGGGGTGGGCAGAGGCTCCGGGCGTGTTCGTGGGGCGTTATCGGGGTCCGGCTTGGCCCCGAGTGATCTGCTCAGATTGTTCCCTGCACGAGAGGCGGGAGGTGAGGTGCGGGACACCCCGGCAGGAGGTAAATTAACTGAGGGAGAACTCGGGACAGGTGATGGAGCTGCTCCTGAACCTGCATCTCCCAGGTCCTGACCCCGCTCTTCACCCTGCCAGGACACCAAAGCTGGTTCACGTGTGGTGGGGTGGTGGCATCAGAGGTCCACAGGGCTTCCCTGCCCGAGTGGGACAACCCTCGGGCTGAGGAGCTGTTTTCATGGCTCTGAATACAGCCCAGGTGGTGTCACCCAGAGCCCCACAACGCCTCAGCACCCCCCTCTTTGAGTTCCTCCATCTCACCCTGTGGCTGTGACAAGACGTGATTCACGGGATCCTGGGCCTCGTGAACGAGGAATAATCGAACAGGGCATGAAAAGGACACTTTTATTGCTCATCAGGGCATTACTAAGGGCTGTCTGGGGCTCTGTGCAGGTTCAGGGAGCTGCTGGAGCAGCAAACCGCTCAAAACACGGCTGGAAGTTCTCTCAGAGACCTGCAGAGCCACCCAGGGAACCTGTTGTGTGGACACTCAGGGCAGGCTCGAGGGAGTTTGGAGTTTTTCCCTGCCTGAAATCCCAGCCCTGGTGCAGTCGGAGCCTTTTCCCTCCAGCCACGTTTGTTTGTGTTGTTTGCTCCTCAGCTCTGCTAAATCCAGCGATTTTGGGCAGCTCTCTGGCATCCCTGACAGCTTGTGGGTGGGGGTGGGCTGGGAGTGGCCACCAGGCTGGGTGGACATGAACTCCAGGGAGGACCAGACCCCGTGTCAGGGAAAACGCCACTCAAACCTTAAATCCCAAGGGCCGAGTGGAAGGAGTTGGATAAAACTGGCTTTTAGAACAGATCTGAACAGATCTGCAGCCAGAGGAGACCCCCAGGGCTGTTGTGCTCCCGCTGGGGGTGGGGGGGATGTTTCTCCATCCATTATTGATTGATCAGTCCTGGTGTTTTTATATAAATTTAAATGAAACCTTCGGATTTCATGGAGCTTTCCCGGGGGGCAGGTTTTGTGTTCCTGTGGTTTTCAGGAGGGGAGGAGAACTTCACTAACCCTCCCACCCCCCAACCCCAGCAGCCTCCAGGAGCTCACCCCTGCTCCTGGCACTTCCCACCGGGAGGAAATGGGCCAGCATTTCCATGGCAGCAATCAACTTTCCAGGGATGTTGCCTGGATTTTCCAGCAATGGCATCAGCGAGGCTTTTGTCCCCCCAGGCCAGGGCTGAGGTCCTGGGGTAGGAAGGACCAGACATGGCTTGAAAAGGCTGGGATGGGAGTGTTGGGAGGGCAAACATGCCCAGAGGCCGTTCCTGCAGCACAGGGGATCTGTGTCCAACCTTGTCCCGGTGCTTGGGCCTCGGGAATTGCCTCTGCCGTGCTGCCCCATCCCTGGGAACACTGGGACTTGACAGTCCTGGAGGTCTTTTCCCACCTCAGTGATCCCAGCACCTTTTTTCCAGCCACACTGGGTGTCTCTCCTGGACAGAGCCCCGGCCACGCCACTGTGGGAAGATGCCCTTTAAATATGTATTAAGTGGGCCTGGCTGATCCATCAGGGAGTTTACCTTCAAAGCAAACAAAACCAGGCAGCAGCCACGACGCCAGGAGGAAGGTAAACTCATTTTCCACCGGGCAGACCAGGTGGATGAGGCGGAAAACTAAAAAAAGAGCTGCAGGAGTTGAGTTGTTCAGAGGGGGCTGCACCTGAGGGTTCCAACTCCACCAGCAAACTGCTGAGTTTGTGTGTGGTGGCCACACAGCAAGGCCCTGGTGGCCACACATGTTCCCCCCTCCCCCCTCCTTGGAACTGGCTGGCCAAGTCATTGCAGAGCTCTGTGGGGGACTCTGGAATTGTTATTCCCTCGCTCCGGACTTGGATCTGCTTTCGCCGTTGTTTTGGCGCCTTCCGAGAGCAAAATGCACTTGAGGAGGTGGGGAAAAAAAAAAAAAAAAAAAAAGTCCTTGTGCTGTGTCTGTAAAACCCATCCAGGGGCAAACCTGCTGCAGGGAGAGCCGGGATTTTGGGGGGGCTGCTCTTGCACCCCCTGGAATTGAGGTTGGAGCAGGAGGAGACGGAGCCTCCCCGAGCTCAGTGGGTCCCATCGGTGCTGCTGCAGCCCTGGGCTGGTGCCCAGCAGGCTGGGAGACAGGGAATGCTGTGGCCCAGCCTGCTTTAGCCTCATTTTTCCGTGTCCTCCTGCTCCTCCTGTCCCCTCCTGCCTCCTTTGTTCTCGGCCCGTGTCTCTCAGCGCGGGTCAGAGAGAAGCTCTGCCTTCCAAACACAGCCCCAGGACAGCCCTGGCTCCTTCCTTCCTTTCTTTCCTGCTTTCTGTGCTCCCTTTCTCACCCTGGGAGAGCAGTTTTTTCCAGCCAGCCTGGCTTTGGAGAAGCCCAGAGCGCTGGACATGTGCTGAATGAGCAATGCTAGGCTGGAGGGAGGGATCCTGGGCTGGAGGGACAAATCCCAGGCTGGAGGGACAAATCCCAGGCTGGAGGGACAGATCCCAGGCTGGAGGGACAAATCCCAGTCTGGAGGGACAAATCCCAGTCTGGAGGGACAGATCCCAGGCTGGAGGGACAGATGGACCCCAGGCTGCAGGACCTGTCCCCATGCAGAGTCTCACAGAGGAGGGCAGGGCTCGTCTGGGGACAAAAAAGTGGCTTTAAAGGGAATAAAGGCTTTGCAGAGCTGGATTTTGAGCTGGAGGCATCCCGAGGCTTCAGGTTTTGGAGCAGAATTATTTCCTCCGTTCTCTTCTTGCCTCTCCTTTAAATCTCCTTCAAATCTGGTGAGTGGCACACGTTCATTTACCTCTGTTAAATGCAGCAGCAGAGGCTGCTCCCAGCCCTGAGAGCCCCCACTGGGATGGGGAGGACCTGCCTGCTGATTCCTGCTGACTTCCCAGCCCAATTTCTTGGCTGGGGTTTGTCCAGACAAAAGGTTTTCAGCGAGCTGGAAAAGCACCACGAGGTTCCTGGACATTTCTCAGCCTTCAGCATCCTCTGGCTGCTTTTTTTTTTTTTTTTTGGGGGGGATGGTTGGGATGTGAAACCCTGAAATTGTGAGAACCTTGAGGTCGTGCTGCTGTGGGAGGGTGTCCTGGGAATGACTCACAGCCCGGGGATCCTGCCCTGCTCAGGTGTCACAGGCACAGATCCCTCTTCCCACTCCCCCAGATCCATCACGTTTAGGGCCCTGAGACAAACCCACAGCTGATTTCTGCAGCAGAGCAGAAGGGGAGCGTTCCCTGCCGTGGTGAAACCAAATCTCAACCCAAAACCGAGCCCAGACGAGGCGACCTGGCCCAAAACCATCCTGGGCTGTGGGAACCTGAGCCTGGGGCAGGCGGGAGGTGCCAGGGGAGGGTCAAAAACCCCCAGGGCAGGGGTGGGGGGTGAGCTCAGCTCCCCTCCCTGCCAGGGTCAGGGGGGCACCAAACTGCTGTCCCTGCCCCCCTGAAAAACCTTCTTAGAGCTGCAACGCCCGAGCAGGAGCTTCCTTGGGGTGAAAATGGGGGGGTTCTGCCTCGCCTGGGGATGAACTGGGACACAACCCTGGCTGTTGGCTCTGTCCTGTGCCCACCCCTGGGAGTCTGGGATGTCCTGGATGTCCCGGGGTCGCCCCTCACCCATCCCTGGGGTGGCACCGCTCGGGGAGGTGCCCGATGATCCCTCCTGCTCCCCACGGGAAGGCAGAGGCTGAAGGGCTTTCTCAAGGTTACAAAGCCTCTTATTTTTGGCCGCCTTCCCCCCCCTCCTCGCGGGGCTGGAGCCGGCCCAGGCTGGAGCTGTTGAAGTTTTTTCGGCCCCTTTGTTTGTTTAATTGAAGTGCTGTTTGTTTTTGATCACGGGCATGAGATAGGAGCTTCCTCTGCAGGCAGGAAGCAGTGATTTCCTGTTGGCTCCCCCGGCCAACTCTCACTGCGCAGGAAACCTCGCTCTGCTGAGTGGTCACTTTTCGTGCAGCGTTTTTTGGGAGTTTTGTTTTTTTTTTTTTTTCGCGGTGTTGTTTTGATTTTTTTCTCTCTTTTTATGTCTTTTTTTTTTTTTTTCCCCCCTTCTCTCCAAATGGGTCCCCCCAGGGGGAGGATGTGTGGATGTGGGGATGCTGTTTGCATTGACAACAGGAATGTTCAGGCTCAAATCTTTTGGTTCTGTCGATGTTCTCGGGGTCAACCTTTCCTTCTGGTTTTGTTTCTCACGGGACATTATTCCCCTGCTGCCAAGGAAGGTGTGTTTGTCCTGGGTCATTTTAAACCCCTCTCCTGGTGCCATGTAAAGACTCGACAAGGGGTTAAACCAGACCTGGATCAAACCCCACAGCCTCACCTGTTTGTTTGCTTGCTGTGCCAGGAGGGTCTTTAGGCA